CGAAATCCGATTTCGGAAGTTGGAGTAGGTCTGTAAGGTCTAATATGACTTGTGTGCAAAACTTGAGGTCAATAGGGCGTGATTTGATAGGTTTAAAGATAGAAAGTTGAAGTTTGAAATTCTAAAGTTCACAAAGCTTGGATTGGAGGTCGATTCATGATTTTAGCGTTGTTTGATATGATTTGAGGCCTCCATCAAGTCCGTAATGTGTTTTGGGACTGGTAGGCATGATTGGTTGGGGTCCCGAGGGCCTCGGGTGGATTCCGAGTGGTTAACAAATCGAAAAGGAAATTTTTGGAAGGTTAAAGTTGTTGGTTGCTGTCATAACCGCACCTGCGAGAATTGGGCCGCAGAAGCGGCCAGAGGAGCCGCAGATGCGGTTTGGACCAAAGTGAAGGGGACCACAAATGCGGTGGGGAAGCCGCAGAAACGGAACCGCACCTGTGGCAGTTGAATCGTAGAAGCGGAAGGGAGGGCCTGGTGAGGTATCCGCAGAAGCGGTAGAAGTGCTGTACCGGAACCGCAGAAGCGGTCAAGGGTCCGCAGGTGTGGAAGTCGCTGGGTAGAATGTTTTTTTAAGCGGAGTTGAGTTCATTTCACCCATTTTTTCTCTACTTTGGGGCGATTTTGGAGGGCTTCAAGAGGGGATTTTCATCATCAATGATAAGGTAAGCTATCCCCACCTATCTTGAGTTAAATACATTGATTATGTATGGATTCGAGCATGAAATTGTAGAAAACTTGGGGTTTGAGGGAAAACCTAGAAAATTGATATTCTTGGAATTTGACCACGATTTTGGGTATAAAATTGAGAGTAAATTATATATTTGAGTTCGTGAGGTTATGAGTAAAGTTTATCTTCAAAAAAATTCGGAATCCGGGCATGTGGGCCCGAGGGCATTTTGGTCAACTTTTCGAGCAGAGTCGGGAACTTATATAATTTAAATTGTTACAACTATTAGAGTTAATTTTTATTGATTTGCCTGTTATTTGGATAGTTTTGGGGCATTATACATCAATTGGAGTCGTTGGAAGGGCATAGAATGCCGATCGTGGATCTTCAGAGCGAGGTGAATCTCCTTTCTAACCTTGTAAGAGGGAATTGTCCCCATAGGTGAGCTAATTGGTTATGTGCTGCTATTTATGGGGGCTATGTATGCACGAGGTGATGAGAGTCCGTGCGTAGCTACTATTATGCTATTGTTCGGGTAGTCTAGGACCCAAAGGCATGATGTACTTGGATTATTTGTAAACTTATTGACAACTTGAATTGCTTAAATCTCATCGAATTAGTAAATGAATTTCTAAAAAGATTAAACTTTATTTTTCTTACATCATTAAAAGAGAACTGGCTTTTATTGGAATAAACTCTTAATTGCCTGTCTGACTGTGTATATCTATGTGTGCCGCGTCGCATGTATAATTCGCGAGCAGGGTATTTATTTATTTAATGTTGACCGCAACGCATGTATGATGCGCGAGCGGGGTAATAGATGCATCTATGGTTCGTGTCGTTCGACCCTCAGTAGTGCACATTTTACATTTCTGTTGGATCGGGCTGTATAGCCTCTGCATGAGTTGCGCATGCTTGTATTGCTTGCCTTGAGATTATTTGAGATTGATACTTGCTCTCCCCGACTTGAGATAATTGGAAACTATTGGATTATGAATTCGGAGACTTTTAATATTAAAAAAAGGAACCTTCACCTATTCATGACTTACTTGAAATTACTGTCATTCTTAATAAATCCTTGATTATTCGCATTAATAATATATCATTATTGGACCCCTAGTAAGTGTCGAAGTCGACCATCGCGTCTCTACTTCTTCGAGATTAGACGGGATACTCATTGGGTACACGTTGATTTCGTACTCATACTGCACTTCTGTGCATTTTTGTTGCACAGGCATGCGTCTCTAGTGGCCTACGGGGCGTGACAGCATGGTTGATACGGAGACTTAGGTGAGCTGCACTTCTCGAGGTGACCCACAGCCAGCAGAGTCTCTTTCAGTTTTCTGTATTTACTTTCTGTCCAATATTGTATTCCGGACGGTTGTTGTATTACATTATTTCCTAGAAATTGCTCATGTACTTATGACACCGGGTTCTGGGAGAATTTTTGGATTATTTAGTATTAAGTTTGTTATAGACTTCATGGTTATTTCTATAAATTTTATTATTTGTTATTTAATGTATAAAGAAAATGATTTTTAAACAAATACTAAAATTGGAATTTAATTAAGTATTTTGGTTGGCTTGCGTGACAATGACGTCCGGCGCCATCACGACCCTTAGTGTATTTTGGGTCGTGACAACATGGTATCAGAGCACTAGGTTCCCTTAGGTCTCACGAGTCATGAGCAAGTCTAGTAGAGTGACATAACCACAAAAAGCCAAGTGGCATTGTTAAGACAAAATAAACTATACCTTTTTAACTAAAAAAAAAAACTTTTTAAAATTTTGAATTAATTGGTTACTCTATTTGAATTAATAGATATTGATATCTTATAATTAGCTATAATTAAAAAAATAATAATAAATTATTCATTCAAATTGGGGAGTAGTTTCAAGTTGGAGTTTTAAAAATATTTTAAAACAAAAAAAATGAAAAAATAAAATTAGCAATAATAAGAAACGGAGATTTATAAATAAAAAAAATACCCAATCAAAATGGAGAGTACTTTTAAGTTGGAGTTTTAAAATTATTTTAAATAAAATAACGAAAATAAAGAAATTAAAAAGACTTTCAATTCAAATGAAAAATACAAAAAGTCAAGTGGCACTGTTAAGATAAAATATTTTTCAAGTGGCATTTAAACTAGGGAATAGTTTCAAGTTGGAATTTTAAAATTATTTTAAAATTTTAAAAAAAAAAATTAGCTAGATTAAAAAAACGAAAATATTAATAGAAAAAACTACCTATTCAAGTTGAGGAGTAGTTTTGTTTACTCCCTTTATAACTAAAAAACCTTTGAATTTTAAATTTTAAATTAATTGGTTACTCTATTTGAATGAATAAATAAAGATATCTTATAATTAGTTATAATTAAAAAAAGGAAGAAAAAAAACTACCCATTCAAATTGGGGAGTAGTTTCAAGTTGGAGTTTTACAAATATTTAAATTGAAAAAAAACAAAAAAAAAAAGGAAAAAAATTAGCTATAATAAAAAAAAAATATCCATTCAAATTGGGGAGTAGTTTCAAATTGGAGTTTTAAAATTATTTTAAAATAAAATAAAAAATAAAATAAAGAAACTTTAAATTCAAATGAAAAATACAAAAATATAAAGATACTATTAGGATATTATACATAAGATAAGCATATATATATCTTTATATTTTTATGATTTCAAAATTATAATTTAGTAAAAAAATATTACAATTTTTAAATTTTTAATAAACTACAAATTTTGAAAACTAATCAACTAACAGCTTGTTTGGATGGTGGTTACCTATTGTATTGCATTGTATCGTTACTTTAAATACGATGTTTGTTTTGGTTGTTACTTAAATTTTATTGTATCGTATCGTTAAATCTGTTGTTACGTAACGACGAAATGTGCCACTTTATGTAACAACCGATTTGGTGTGGCTGCATTGTTATCTTGTCTTTTTTTCTTATCTCACTCTTCACTATTATTAAATAATTTTATTTTATCATTTACCCTACCTTTTTATATAATAAATTTACCCTGTATTATAATTTTTTTTGATAATATTGCAAATTTATTCTTCATATTGCTGGTGCATGATACCATGAAACAACAGCAAATGATACAATCTATCCAAACACTGTATTCATCAAACGGTACAATACAATACAATACAATACAATACGATACGATACATTATGAAACGATGTGGAACAACCATCCAAACAAACTGTAAGTATTACAGTAGAAAAGAATGTACGAAATAAGGGGATGGAGATAATTTTATGATATTTATATTTTGAATTAATTAAAAAAATAAAAGATAAATAAATAACACTCAAGAAAATTATCAATAGTACTAAGTACTCCCCCGTTTCAAATTAGATGAGGTAGTTTGACTTGGGACGGAGTTTAAGAGAAAAGATGAGATTTTTTAAACTTGTGGTCGTAAAGGGTACAAGCTTTGTAGGACCATGTCATTTGTATGGTAAAAACTTCCTCGTAATGAAAAGTTTAAAGTTGAATTATTTCTAAATATAGAAATGTGTCATTCTTTTTGCAACGGACTAATAAGAAAAGTGTGTCATCTAAATTGAAACGGAGGGAGTACTTGCTATTTCAATAATAAAAATAAAAAGGAATAAATAATTTATTTAATTACTATATGATGTGTATCCTTTAATTTTGTATAGATTGTGTTATATTTCTGCACACTATATTAAATAATAAAATACAACTAATATTTATTAAATTAATATGATATATTAGATCATAATTTTATAAGATTTATATTCTATTAAATTATCCGCACATCGCGTGGGTTCTTATACCAGTAACAATAAAAAGAGGGTAGAAAAGATTCTTAGTGAATTATCCGGGACTGCCTTCCTGCACGGCTGCACGTGTCACGTGTTGGTTCTTGCCTTAACCAATTACTCCCTCTGATTCACAATAAGTGATCAATTTGCTTTTTTATTTTGGTTCAAAATAAGTGTCCACTTATGTAATCAAGAAAGAATTCAATTTGTTTTTACAAAATAACCTATATGTACATATGCCTAAAAAGTTTTCTTACTCCTCACATTAAATATTTAATTAGGGATAGTTTTGTAATAGTAGGTATTTATGTATAGATTTTAATATTTTCTTAATGGACGTGCTAAAAGCAATCGGGAGTAACAAAGATTTAATTTGATTTCTTTTCAAAATGAAAATTTCTTCACTAATCAGATTCTGTAGTGGGGGCCACCAAATCTTCTCCACATCCTACTTTGCTTAGAACACAAACTCTCCATATAAAAGGACCATAACCTAGCCCACATTCAATGGCTATTCATAGCCGGCTTCAATTTTTCTTGCGTCCTTTCAATTCTTTTTGCCACCCATGTCCGCCGCTGCAGCCGCCGCCGCCGGTGCCACGGCTGCAACCACCCATCAATCTCATCACGACAACCACTTTCGCTCTTTTGCCGAAACCCCATATCAGAATCACTTTTCTTTGGCCCCTAAAACCCTACCAAAACCCTACAAACACCTCTTCTCTAACACCCGCAAGATTGCTGTAACGGCAGCCTCTTCAAAAAATCCCTTAAAAGACGTCGTTTTGGATGGCCATTCTTTCGGTTCTTACTTCGACGACGACGACAAACCCCGAGAAGAGTGTGGCGTTGTTGGCATCTATGGTGATCCAGAAGCCTCTCGGCTATGTTATTTAGCTCTTCACTCACTTCAACACCGTGGCCAAGAAGGCGCTGGCATTGTTGCGGTCCATGAAAACGTGCTTCAAACCATTACAGGTTAGAGACAGATTCAGAATTTTAAGTCAAAAAACTTATTTAAGTCATCACTGCCTATTCAGTAACATTGCAGCACTCAATTGTGTAGTACTTAGTTTTAAAAAGTAAACTATTTAGCTCTATGTGCCTGTGTGTGTGCTCGACAATATGAAAAAGAAAAACTATTTACCTTTACGTGCATGTGTCTGTGTGTGTCTATAATATATACACACATAACTTTGTACAAATATAAACGTACACATTTTTATACTACTATATGTATGTGCTAAGTCAAAATTTTAATGGTGGATGTGGACAAGAATTTTACTGCACGAATTCAGAATTTTAAATATATCAGTTACACTTCTCTATAACATCATCCCTATATTTACCGCACGAATTCAAAATTTTAAATATATCAGTTATACCTCTCTATAACATCAAAGTCAAATTTTTTCGGAACCGATTTTTATATTATGCTATAATATATGTCCTCCACAACAGCAATTCACTATAGCAACTAAAAAATATCAAAACAAACAAGGTTATGATAGAGAGGTTTGACTTTATATAGAACTTTCTATCTGACTTCTATACTGGCAACTGTTACAGGTGTTGGATTGGTGGCTGATGTTTTCAGCGAGTCAAATCTCAGTCAACTGCCCGGTGACATGGCAATAGGTCACGTAAGGTACTCCACAGCTGGTTTTTCAATGCTAGAGAATGTTCAGCCTTTCGTTGCAAGTTATAAATTTGGATCAGTTGGTGTTGCCCACAATGGCAATTTTGTGAATTACCTAGCTCTTCGTGCTGAACTTGAGGAAGACGGGGCAATTTTCAAGACTAGTTCTGATACTGAGGTGGTTCTTCACCTTATTGCTAAATCAAAGAAAAAACCTTTTCTTTTGAGGATTCTTGAGGCTTGTGAAAAATTACAAGGAGCTTATTCTATGGTCTTTGCTACTCAGGATAAGTTGGTTGCTGTGAGGGATCCTTACGGGTTTAGGCCATTAGTTATGGGTGAGAGGGAAAATGGTGCTATAGTTTTCGCGTCCGAGACATGTGCATTGGATTTAATTGAGGCTAAATATGAAAGGGAAGTTTTACCTGGTGAAATATTGGTAGTAGATAAAGATCAAGGGGTTCAATCTTTTTCATTGGTGCCTAAACCTGAGCCAAAATCTTGCATCTTTGAGCATATTTACTTTGCTCAACCTAATTCTGTTGTGTTTGGTAGGTCTGTGTATGAGTCAAGATGTGCATTTGGGGAAATTCTTGCGACAGTAGCACCCGTGGATTGTGATGTTGTGATTGCTGTACCTGATTCAGGCGTTGTATCTGCACTTGGTTATGCTAAAAAAGCAGGTGTACCATTTCAACAAGGTTTAATAAGGTCACATTATGTTGGTAGGACATTTATCGAGCCATCACAAAAAATTAGAGATTTCGGGGTCAAGCTTAAGCTTTCGCCTGTTAGGGCTGTATTGGAAGGGAAAAGAGTCGTAGTTGTGGACGATTCGATAGTGAGAGGGACGACGTCGTCTAAGATTGTGAGGTTGTTAAAGGAGGCAGGAGCAAAAGAAGTTCATATGAGAATTGCTAGCCCTCCAATTATAGCTTCTTGTTATTATGGAGTGGACACTCCTAATTCAGAAGAGTTGATATCTAATAGGATGAATGTGGAGGAAATTAGGAAGTTTATAGGGTCAGATTCCTTAGCATTTTTGCCATTGGATAATTTGAACAAGTTGTTAGGAAGTGATTCTACAAAATATTGTTATGCTTGCTTTTCTGGGAAGTATCCTGTCCAGCCAAAGGGCAATGTGGAAAAGGTTGAAGACTCTGTTGACAATGGATTAAGTGGAAATATTGAGGCATGACTTGATTTTGCCTAATAACACATATTAGGAAGAGTTAAAGAGCAAAGATATCCAACATGAAAAGGGGAGAGGCAACGATTTTTCTTTTCTTTTTGAAATTTTTATGGTGTTGTCTTCTTCACTAAATTTTCTATATTTATCAATAGTTCAATGAGTTAAGGATATGTTTGGATGTCACAGAAAAGAATCAATATACCACAGGTCAAATTCTCGTTTTTTTCTTGCTTGTTCGTTGTTTCACCTAGCCTTATGTTGGCCTAAGAGTAGTGGTGGCAAATGTTTTAAAAAAACAGTCATCCATTCATATTATATGTCACGATCCAAATCAATGGGTTGCGACGAGTACCCGTGTCCTATCTGTCGAACACCCTTAAACATGCGACTAAGATATAAACATGAATAATATCTGCTAAATCACGAGAATAACAAGCGCGAGGAAAACGTGTCCAAAAGACATATATATATATATATATA